TCTATTTATTCGCACCCCAAACATTATTTATTGAAGTATCATCTCAACCAAGTCCTGGCCAACCCGACAGCACACAGTATAGCAGTGTCGATATGTCTTTCTGCACTACAGTCACAGGTGAATTTCCTTGTTTCTACACGGTTTCAATGACTCTTGAAGTGTTCCTGTATTTAGCAGCATTCGTATTTTGACAGGTTCAAGTGATGACACATTGGCAGCGTTAGAAGCACCACTTAGACGAGTATCAAATACTAATCATCGCCAGTCGAGCTGCGGTACCTTCTTGCCCTTTCACATCATTTGGGCTGGTGTCAGAGTCCGCGATCCGTCGCGCGACTCGCGCGAAGCGCGAAAATCGCGAGTGCCCCATTTGAACATTTGAAACACCAATCGCGAAAACGGTAGAATCATGAACAGTCGTCATTCAATCATCACCATCAAGCAGCAATGTTGGTCGCGGCACTTATGATTTCTGCGACCAATCGCGCGACGAATCGAACTCTGACACCAGCCAAAGAGTTCTTCAAAGATTACAGATGGTGGCAAATGAAATATTATAGTTCGTTGATTAAGTTATACTTAGGCATCGCAGATTCAACGGTAGACATTTCGAGACGTACCACGAATGACACGGTATGTTTAATGTGCAACAATCTGTATTTTCATCTTTTACTAATATTAATTCATCTTGTTTCAAGCTTGCATGTCTGAATGTCGGACCTGGTCAAGTTTTTCATGGTTTGCAAACTCCACGCTGTTCCCAGAGTAGCTCCAATAAGGTTTGCGGAAGTTGCTCCTTTCTGATTCGATGATTGATCAATTTGTCTGTCTTATTTCAGTCCACCGTTTCAACTTTTGACGACGATACTGCACTTATTCTCGAAACGGGAAATGCGTTCGGAAATGAAGGGTTGAACCAGGTACGGAATTCCTAGAATAAACCGATTTGACAGAATCCTGATAAATAAGCTCTTCCTTTTCAGCAACGTAACAATGTCTCGAATACTTCTTCATTTATGTCAGAGTCTGCCGATGGTGGCGACACTATGAGAGTTTTCGAGTGTTTGGTTAGTGGAGATGATTTATATTTGTCTCACTGGAGAGTCACTTTGTCTTCCGCCATTCAGATGCAGAAAGCAGGGGCCGGAGATTTCGAAGAACATGATCGATCGCACGAAATGCAAATTGCTGCGACGGTATTACTTCACATTTTTCATTTGAATATGGCTAGTCGTTGCTGTGACCCGCCAGATTAGACTACCAAATACGTTCACTATTAATGATCCTTGATCTTTTGAGACAGCGGGATTATCTTCAGTCGAAGTAAAAGGAGGTTGTGAATTTTGTGTGACGTAATGGGTAGAACGGTAATGAACTGTTGATGTTGTCAGTTGGTGGTAGGAACAGCTCGACTGTCTGACGTCGTTAGGCTGATGTCAGAGTCCGCGATCCTTTGCGCGATTTGCGCGACGGGTCACGGAAATCACAAGTGCCCCATCCATACTGCAAGGTGTTCTCCAATCCCGCCGTCACTTCTGCTTGATGGTTATGGTTTAATGGAGACTGCTCATGATTCCACTTGTTTCATATCCAGTGTTTCAATTGTTCAAATGGGGCACTTGCAATTTTTGTGATTGGTTTGGTTTGATTCCTGAAAAAAATAGGAACGATTCAAGAGCATTTCAATGAACTAATAGACATTGAACATGAAACAAGTAGAACCACAAACATTCGTCTTCCAATCTTTACTGCCAAGCAGAATTCGCAGCAGGATTAAACAACACCTCGCAGTATTCATCGGGCACTTCCAACTCCTGTGATCCATCGCAGGTTTCGCGAAAATCGCGAAGAGCGGATCGCGGACTCCGACACAAGCCTTAGAGTGCAGAGCTTCTTGAAAAGCTGTGAAGGGTACGTCGTTACTGAGTATTGAAAGGAACTCGCCTGTCAAGTGATGAAAGGCGTTGTCTGTTGTAGAACATATTTCTCTCTCATTCTCAAACTAAATCCTGCCTATGGGCTCTATAGTACTGATCGTACTCTTCCAGTTGTTTAACCTGTTCAGGCGAACACCTCGTTGAACTCTACGAATATGGAAGTGACGGATCTGATTTTGCAAGAGTCTGTTGATGTGGTGCGTCGCATTGTGAGTGATATGCTCATTTTTCCTTTTTTTTCTTGTTTTTTCCTATGGTATACCCAAGGGTGTCAGTAATTTTACGCATTGTGCGTGCTTAGTGTTATCTATACCCTTTTTCTTGAACTAATCTGGACTATCTGCTGACTCGATGGTCTAGACTTATTGCTGGTCTCTTGTAAGTTATTAGGTAGTGATGAAGAAATGGTGAAGAATGGTGGAATAGTTCGATAGTACAATAATTTATCTTTCGATCTCGATTTGTCTAAGTTGAGATATTTGATTGCCTATTATGACTATGATTATGCACTATTCGAGCTGCAGAGCGAATGCTGGCTGATTTCGACTGCGCCTGTGGTAAGGTCGGTCTGCAGCTGAACCTAACGAAGACGATGTTTATGAGAAACGGATTGGTTCCTGATGCCCCATTCACGCTCAACGGAACGAACATCACCGAATGCTCCAGCTACGTGTACCTAGGTCGGGAAATCAATATGATGAACGATCTAGCTCCAGAGCTGAGCAGGAGGAAACGAGCGGCATGGGGAGCGTACAAGAACATCGAGGGAGTAGTGAAGAAGACGAAGAACATCCGGCTCCGTGCCCACCTCTTCGATTCCGCAGTCCTTCCTCCGCAGGCAGGACGAGCATGCGGTCAGCGTTATCCAACGCGCTGTCGAGAGGACGATGCTAGGAGTAACCCTATACACGCAAGTGCAGAGGGGAATCCGGAGTTGGAACTACGCCAACGATCGAAGATCAGGGACGCTGCCGTTTTCGCCAAGGAATCGAAGGTAAGGTAGACCGTACACGCCATGTGCTTCTGTGACGACCGTTGGACGAGAGCACTGACTGGATCCCTTGGGATATCAAAGGAACACCTGGACGACTGCCTGCCCCATGGTCAGACTTCTTTTATGAATCTGACAAAGGAATGATGGACTTCGTGTCCCTCGAGCGAGGAGGGTCCACTGGACAACTCTTGCACGCGACAGGGACGAATGGAGACGTTGCTGGCGCCCGCTCGAGCAATTCGATGATCAACGGGACGACAGGTGATACAGGTGATAATGACTTTTCAGCACGTGATCTACACCAAATACCTTCCTTGCACAAGAAACTCATTGGTATCAGTTTAATTCCTGCGTCTAAATTTAATAATTCTGATGAGGAGTTCGTTAGTCCGTTTATTGCTTATGAAGAGCGCTTCTGTTTATTCGGGTGAATGAAGCTGTGCGCTAGGAACTGCTTAGAACTACCTATGGGGATTGTGAATTTTTCTGTCTTGTTTCTTGGTCTTTGGAGGTTTCTTCTATTGTACTTACTTGAATCTCTTGCTGATTTTTTCACGTGAGGCCCCACAGGGACTAATTTGGAGTTGTGAAGAAGTTTTCAAATTACTCAGTGTAGGAACAGATGGGCTACATTTTCGAAAAGGTGACATAGTAGGTTGCATTGGCGAAAAACGGTCGGACAAAAGCGGCAACAAACTAGCGTTTCATTGTACTCATTGTATTGTAAGAACGAGTACTCCGACTGAACTTTTCGTATTTATTTGCCAAAATGGGTTTTAAGAAAACGGATATTTTCAATGCTTCCTCTAAAAATAAGAATAGCTGAAAGCGTTGTCAGCTACAGACAGAAAAGGCTCCATGAATGTTGCTGTTCAGATACAGAATTATGTATTTGCTCACTTTTAATGAGGAGAATTTCAGGCGCATGCGCATCAAAGGAGTGACGAAAGCACACCGTCAACAGAAGCAGTTAATCAAAATTCAACGGTAACTTCCAATTTTTATTGATCATTTCCAATTTCTTTTGGTAAGTAGCTTTAGTAGCAGAATGCATAGAAAAGAACTGATCTGCAAGATTCCTCTGTTTTAGTTTGTTGTCGAGAGCCCGCACCAAAATGCTGCACTCGGCGACCACGTCGCAGATGAGCTCATGCAAGTACGTAAAGCGTTACATGAATTATATATTACCTGTAACAATAATCCTTTTTCAGAGGTGTGTTGTTGCCATGGATATTGGCAATGAGACAATCAATCTTGTCACTTCTGAGACATCTTTCTGCGCTGGCGATAAACTTAATACCTCTGAAATGTGTTCTACACATCCATCGGATGCGGAACGAAGCCAGATGTTGTCTACTGGTGGTGACGGTTTTCAGTGTCCAAATACTCCTGCAAACACCACAATTACTCTCGAAACTGAAACGCGAACAACTGCTACCAAGGTTGGTGCTTGCTATGATTTATGCTCGATCTTACGTGCGGTATTGGGGAAAATATTATAGTTGACGACGCTTCAATGTGTCTTGCGAGAAGCTACTATCGATGCGGTCGTTGCTGATAGGTTTTGTGAGGGTTAACAAGTTTGAGGATGGGATGGCTGATGGTTTGTTGATAGGATAAGCGAGATTAAACTACAGGGCGAGGCTGCAGCTGCTTCCTGCTATGAAAAAAGCTGTTTCGGAGTTGATGCTACATTCTTGAGAGAAATGAAGGTAGCCCCGCCAGAGACCCGGCATCACCACCACGCTTGGTACTGCGAGACTTCATACATGTTAGCGCAGTCAAGTGGCTGTGTCATTCTTGCTCACGTTTGGATATGCAAACATTATCGCGATTCGTGATGTTTTCCGTGGGTGAATCTGCATCCCACAGTTGACCTTATCACTTAGTGATCCTTGCCTCTGAAGTATTACATTCCATCAAATATTCGAGCTAAAGGAAGTGCTGAAGG